AAGAAGCAGAAGCCACCGACCAGCTCCTCGCAGAGCGGCAGCGACATCGAATCGGGGAGCTCGTCGCCTGCGCACCCGCGCGTCGGCGAGACCGCCAAGGAGCGCGCGGCGCGCGAGAAGCAGGAGAGGAAAGAGCAGAGTAAGAAAGACAAGGAGGCGCAGCAGCAGAAGCTCCTGGCCACGCGTACCCTGAGCAGGATTGTGGCGCCCATGTACAAGCTCGAGTCGGCGCTCAAGTGCGACGGGGTCGGGAAGATCCCCGAGGCTACGCTGGTTCACGCGAAAAAGCTCATGGACACGCTGACCAAGATGAAGAAGGTCGCCCATAAAGTCAGCAGTGGCAAGGTCGCACCTTCGGAGTTCACTTGGTCCGCCCAGGATGTCAGCGACATGTCGACGCAGGCGGCGGCGCAGAGCACTCTGGTGATGTCGATGGCCAAGGCGTACCTTGTGACTGCGAAGTCCTCGTGAGGGCCCGCCGCCATCAGCTACAGCGCTGGGACCAGCGTGCGGCCGTGCGGTAGCAGCAGGCTTTGACGCCGCTCGCCGCCCCGCTTTCGCGCCCCGCCCCGCAGCTGGTGGGTGGCGCACATGTGTATAAAAAAAGCGATGGGGATCGCTGGGGTGAAGCGATGGCGATCGCTTGTGGAGAGGGGAGCGATGGGGATCGCTGGGGTGAAGCGATGACGATCGCTTAGGGAGAGGGGAGCGATGGGGATCGCTGGGGCGAAGCGATGGCGATCGCTTAGGGAGAGGGGAGCGATGGGGATCGCTGGGGTGAAGCGAGGGCGATCGCTCGGGCGGGCGTTGGCGAGGATGGGCTCGCGATGGGGGCTAGTTGCTCAGCCGTTTCGGCTCGACTCGCGAGTGACGCGCGTCGCTCGTGGCCAAGCGGCGGCGCGATGCCCAAGCGGCGGCGCGATGGCCCCGAAGCGGGGTCGGGCATCCGATGTCCGCGACCTCAGGCGGCCAAGCGGCGTCGGCTATCCGATGCCATCGCTACGCATGGCGTATCTGGCAAGGCCCTCGTTCGCATCGCCAAGAAGCTCGCGAAGCCTGGCCATGCGCAAGAGCTGACGGCTTACGCGGTCCAATCCACCATTGAGGGCGTATTCGACGACGTCGGGGCGACAATCGAATTGCCCATGCAAGATAACGAGCCGCCCTTCGCTTGGAAGCTCGCCAGAATCGACAAGCTCCTGCGGTATGTTTGCAAGGCCAGCCCCGTGTAAAGTGAGCTTCTCGCGGTGGTCGCGAACCGCGTCCGCGGCGCGCCGCTCTCGCTGGTGCTGTACATGGACGAGGTGACACCAGGCGACGCGCTGGCCCTGAGGCACGATCGGAAGTTCTGGATGATCTTCTTCACGTTCCTGGAGTTCGGGGCTGACATGCTATGGAGGGAAGAGCTGTGGCTACCGCTGGGGTGTCTGCGAACGAAAGCGAGCAATCGCGTGGACGGCGGCATCTCCTGTGCCACTCGACTCCTCATCAGGGAGATGTTCTTCGGATCCTCCAGGCTCGCGGGAGCTGGCGCGCACGTGGAGCTGGCCAACGGCACTCCGATGCTGGTGCGGGCGCGCCTCTCCAATCTTCTCGCAGACATGGATGCGTTCAAAGGCATTCTGCGTTTGCGGGGTGCCAACGGCTGGAGGCCTTGCTTGCGATGCAAGAACGTGATCTTGAAGGGCGGTTCCGTCGACGGCGACGGCGGCTACTTCGTCGACACCTGTTGTCACGAGCACGCGCGCTTCGATCGTCATTCAGACGCCGACGTGTGGAAACTGTGGGACGACCTCGCCGCAGCGGCGGCGACCGCGGGACAGCCTGGCCACATGACGAAGGGCAACTTCCAGAAGCTCGACAAAGCCAGCGGCTTCAACTACCATCCCAATGGCTTGCTGGAGGATAAGGAATTGCGGGCGATAATGAAGCCGTCCGCCATGACGTATGACAGCATGCACAACCTATGGAGCAATGGCACCGTCGGCTGGGAGGTGTTCGCGTTTGTGAAGGCGTGCCGGAGAAAAGCTGGCATCGGATGGCCCGAGCTTCACGCGTTCACGCGGCGCTGGCAGTTCCCGAGGTCGCACGGCAGAACGGCAAAACATATGTTCACGCCTGGGCACGAGACCGCGTGCAAGAAATCATTCAAAGCAGGCGCCAGCGAGCTGATCTCGACCTTCTTCGTCCTTTTGGCGTTCGCCGAGGAGCGCGCCGTCCGCATCGGGTCGCTCGGGCGCGAAATAGCGTCCCTTCGGGCGTGCGGCCTGCTGGCGGACGCGTTCCTGAAGGTCAAGCGCGGGCGTGCCCCCCCTCGCAGTGACTTCATTGCAGCGGCTGAAGTCCATCTCAACTTGCACAAGCAGGCGTACGGCACCAAATACGTGAAGCCCAAACACCACTACGTGTTTCACAACGCGGAGCAGGAGCCGAAAGAGCTCGACTGCTTCGTGACGGAGCGCCACAATAAGGTGGCAAAGGCGGTGGCCGAACCAGTGGAGAACACCGCGCGCATGGAGGCCACGACGCTCGCGGGCTGCGTATTGCAGCAAGTGCGGCAACTCGAGAAGATGGGGCCGACGGGCAACTCGCTGGTGGGAGCGCGTGCCGAATCTGACGGGTTGCGCTCCGTAGTCGGGGCCGCCGACGTCTCCGTGGCCAGGGGGCTGCGCTGGGAAGGGAACGCCTACAACGTGGGCCAGGTGGTTCGCTCGCGCGGCGGCGAGGTGTTTATCATCGACGCGTGCGCGGAGATTTCTGGCGAACTGCACATCGTCGCCCGCGGGATCGAGATCTCAACGGGCGCGTGCGGCCTCAGCACTGGCAGCGTGGTGAACGAGCTCCTCGTCATCAAGATGTCCGACGCTGACCTGGATGGCGCTGTCTGGGCGTGGCGCGTGAAGAGCAACGGTGACTATGTCATCGCGCACGCGCGCTGAGAAACATATGGAAACATGCGCCGCGCCGCGGTGTGTGTGTGTGTGGGGAGCGATGTCGATCGCTGGGTGAGGTGAAGCGATGCCGATCGCTTGGGTGAGGAGATGAGAGGAGGAGGATGAGGATGAGGAGGAGGAGGAGGGGGAGGGAGAAAACGATGCCGATCGCTGGAAGGAGGGGGGGACGGAAAAGACAATCGAGCGATGCCGATCGCTGGGTGAGGTGAAGCGACGTCGATCGCTTGAAGGAGGAAGAGGAGGAGGAGGAGGTGGCGGAGGAGGGAGGATAGCGATATCGATCGCTGGAAGATGGGCGGGGGGTGGGAGGAGGAAAATAAGATCACTGCGCGCAGCGCGCAACCGTTCAGCTTTGGCGCGCTGCTGCCCCTTGGGCTCGCGCGGGGCAGGCGCGATGCTGCCCCTGGCGGCCGCGCGCAAGCGCGCCTCGAGCTGGCCGAAGGCGGCCGCGCACGACGACGAGACGACGACGACGATGCGACGACGGCGACGAAGACGGCGACGAATGATGCGAGCTTGCCCGAGCGGCTGCTCGGGGAGGTGGAGCAGCTGCGCGGGGAGGTCGAGCAGCTGCGCGCGGCGAACGCCCAGCTGCGGGCGGAGAAGGAGGGGGCGGATAAGACGACGACGACGACGACGAGACGACGACGAGACGACGGCGACGGCGACGACGACGACGACGACGACGACGACGACGACGACGGTGGCGGCGACGACGACGGCGGCGGCGGCGGCGACGACGACGACGACGACCCCCCCAGGTGGCGCGGCACTTGGCCCTCCAGATCGACATGCGCGACGTCGAGCTGGATCGGGCCGCCGAGCTGCTGAGCGTCGCGCGCCGCCGCGCCGCGGTGCATGCGGCGGCGCTGGCGCAGCTCAAGCAGGACGCGATGACGATCATCCGCCTGCAGAGGCTGTACGACGCCCCCGAGGCGGAGGCGGCCATGGCGTCGGCGGTGGTCATGGCCGACGCCCTGACGAAGCCGCCTCCGCCGCCGTGGTCCCCCCGTGAGGAGGGGCTCGCGGGCGGCGACGGGCGCCCAGGGTCGTCCGCGGACGCCCTGACTGAGCCGCCCCCGCCGCCGCGGCCTGCGCCCCCGCAGTGAGGCGGCGCGAGGCTGCGCGCGCCAACAAGAAGCTTGGGGGGGGATATCGATGTCGATCGCTTGGGGGAGGTAGCGATGGCGATCGCTTGGAGGAGGAGGAGGAGGAGGAGGAGGAGGAGGAGCAGGAGGAGCAGGAGGAGCAGGAGCAGGAGGATGAGGAGGAGCAGGATCTGCATGGGCAGCCAGGGGGCTGCGGAGGGAGGAGGAGGAGTAGCGATGCCGATCGCGATGTGCATGGGCAGCCAGTGGGGCCGCGGGATTTGCATAGGCAGCCAGGGGGGCTCGCGATCTCGATCGCCGCGAGGAGGAGGAGGAGGAGGATGAGGAGCAAGAGAGCGATGCCGATCGCTGGGGGAGGCGAAGCGATGTCGATCGCTTGGAAGGGGGAGGAGGCAGGAGAAGGAGGAAGAGGAGGATGACGATGATGAGGAGGAGGAGAGCGATGTCGATCGCTCGGGCGCGGGTGGGAATATGGGTGGAGCGATGGCGATCGCTCGGGCGGGCGTTGGCGACGATGGGCTCGCGATGACGGCGATTGCTCAGCCGTTTCGGCTCGCCTCGCGAGTGACGCACGGGGCGCTCGCGGCCAAGCGACGGCGCGCGCGCGCGCAGGAGGGGGCGCGTCATGGACGATCTCCCCTCGGAACCGCTGCCACCTGGGCTGGTCGGCGCGAAGCCGTCCAGTGTCCCGCTGCCGCGAGGCGGCCCGTGGCCGAATATGGCCAACGCGAAGTTCTTCAAGATGCCGTCGCCCGCCGCTTTCGTTGCGGCCACCTCCAAGGACGCGGCGCCGCCGCCGCCACCCAAGCGGCCGCGCCTCGAGGTTGCAGCCGTCGGCCGAGAGGGAGCAGGCAATGGAGGTCCAGCGTTCGTGGGAGTTCGAAAGCGCCACCGTGCGCCCTCCCACCGAGGATGAGCTGGTGGAGCTGCTCGCGTCCCTGGGCGGGGATGGGTGGAACGACTCCAGCGTCCTCAGGCGGCTCCAACAGCAGGCCGAGCTGCAGGCGTTGAGCGAGGCGGAGGCGATCTGCTTGACCGCCTTCCGCGACGGGCAGGGCGGCGAGGCGGCCCCTGAGGGTGAGCCCCCTGCGCGGTGAGGAGGCCGCGCGTGCACTGAGGACGCGGCCGCGCGCGGTGAGGAGGCCGCGCGCCCCGCCGCGCTCATCGCTCTCCTCCCCCCCTCCCCCCCCTCACAGCGATCGACATCGCTCCTCCTCCTCCTCCTCCCAAGCGATCGCGATCGCTTCATTTCCCTAAGTAACTTATAAGTATCTTATAGTGTTAGCTTAAGTAACTTAAGAACATCAACTTAAGTTACTTATAAGTATCTTAGTAAGTACCCATAAGTAGCTCATGTAAGTAGCTATGTTACTTGCGATACTTATACATAGGGTGCAACTAGCGTAAGAGCCACCATTCTCGAAGTGGGCTATTGGGCACCCCCGGGCACCCGGGCACCCCCGGGCACCCGGGCACCCCCGGGCCCCCGGGCACCCGGGCACCCGGGCCCGGCCACCGAAATCGGCCACCCGGGCACCCCTGGGCACCCGGGCACCCGGCCCCGGCCACCGAAATCGGCCGCTCACCTCACCACAGCATTATATCCGCTAGGACCCCTACAGAAGCAAGCTCTGATTGGGGAATATATATATATATATATATATATATATATATATATATATACATATATATATGTGCATATAGATGTGTTTTATGTGTGTATGTGTGTGCTTGCACCCCCTCTGCTCTCCTTGAGCTACAGCTGCCCTGCCTGGCCACACAATTTTTCGGAGACGGCGGCGTTCTGAGTCTGCGCCAGTTTGCCGGAGGTTAGTGCCCTCGCGGCAACGGCCCACATGGGAGTCTGTGCCAAAACATCCGTGGTGGCGACACGAGGAAGGCGGAAGGCGCGCAAGGCAAAACAATGTCTTGGATGTGCCCTCGTCTCTGTTGCGGGGCACGCGCTTGCCATAAGTGCGCGCATCGGAGGCGACAGCGTAGCTTCTGGCGGTACTGATCCAGCATGGGCTCAGCAATCAGAGCGAACAGAACTGTGCGCTCGCGCACCTGGGGTGGCAACTCCAGGAGCAAGCTGGCCGCCTCCTGATCGTACACCGCCATCGAGCGACTGGCCTGCCAGCGCCCCCTCCACTGCAACATACATCGGCAATCTCTCCCACTGCTCAAAGTGTCACGTCGCACCGCCGGCCCTCCAGCTGGCGAGGGTGAGGCCCGCGCCATCCGCAATGGAATCTCCCCCGAAAAGCTTCGCGGGCGCAAGAAGCTCGTCTCCTGGCTGCGCCCGCAAGGTCCCGGCCGCGCAGTCGGCCACCGCATGCAGCTTAGCCGTGCCGCGGCCGCCCGTTGAGATGGGCGGGCGGCGGCTGAGTTCTCCCTTCCTTATCTGCTCGGCCACGGTCCATGTCTGCTCGCAGCTGAGGGCCTGTCCGCTCCTAGCGCAGGTTTGGGCCGCCCAGCGACCTGGCAGCGCCAATTTGCGAACGCGCCCCCACGATGCGAGTGACCGTCAGGTCGACGGCACGGCGGCGACGCTGCCGCTGTCGGCGGCGTCGAGAGCGGGGCCCGCGTCAGGTTTCCAAGGATGCGGAGGCGGACACTGCTGGGAGCTGGAGCTGGAGACGCGACGCCGATCCATCTCTGGGCGGTCGTGGTCGCCACAAAGCTGCCCCGGTGCTTGGCGGCCCCTGCAGAAGCCAACCGCGCTCCGAGTGCCAGACGCAACTGGAGCAGGCAAGCGGGCAGCGAAGAGCACCACTCGTCCAAGCGGTGCTGCCGCGGCTCCCGGTCGTCCCCTGCGATGCCCAGGCGGCTCCTGAGTCCCTTTGCGCTACCAGCCTCCCGACTCAGGCCCGTGGTCGTTCGCTGATCTTGGCAGCGACTCGGCAACTGCCTCCCTGGAGGGTCTTCGGGCGCCCGTTGCCCTCGTCTCCACTCTGGCGTCCTGCTGCTGTCCTTCCTCCTCATGCTGCTCCCAGGGCTCCGCGGCGGCGAAGCTCGCTGAGGGCGGCCGCGCCCTTGACGAAGGCCATTGCGGCCGCGGTCCAGCTCGGGCAGGACAGCCGGCCGAGCGGGCGCAGAGCATCGTGCGCTGGGACCTGGCCGAACGAGCACCGTGGAGGCTCTGGGAGGTGCGTGAGCAGCCGCGCCATCGACCAGCGTCCCTGGTCGAGGGGTGCCTGCTCCATGGCGCAGAGCAACCGCATCCAGCTGCTGGGCCTGTAGCTGGCCCGCGACCGTGGCAAGGCCGTATGCCAGGTGAACGTCGCCCCGCGCCTTCACGTGCCTCTCAAAGAGTGCCCGCATGAAGCCGGCTCGACCTTCGGACTCGCTCGCGTCCGACGCCAATGCGAGCCTCGCATTGCCCCTCACTGTCTGGCTGGAGCTCGTTGGATTACTCTCGAGCCTCTTCTGGACAGGTTCTGGCCCCCTTGGCCCAGGGAAGCTTGGCACCTCCCCCAGCCTTTCGAAACCAGCCATCAAGGCTCGCGAAGGGTCCGCAGCCGCCGCGCCGTGGCGCATCAGCAAAGATGTGGTGGCCTGGCTGGCTCTGGGTGGCGAGCGCCTGAAACGCTTTGACGATCGCGCCTTGACAGGCCAGTCCGCCCTTCTCAAGCGCCATCGCCGCTGGGGGCGGCCGGGCCGGGCGTACCTGTGCCCTCCCCGGGCCCCAAGCAGGCACTCCAGGGCCCCGTATAGCGGTCCGAGGCAGGATGGGGCAACTCCAAGGGGCTGCGCAGGGGGCCCTTCTCCCGCGCCTCCGCCTGCGACGTGGTCCGCGGCAGTGCTGCCCCAGCCAGCGCGGCCACCATGCCGAGGGCGTTTTCTGGCGCCGCGGGGGGATGCTGAAAGAGTCCACGCGTACAGCAGCTCCACGCCATGCCCGCGAAGGTTCAGCGCTGCTGCTCTTTGCTTCGGGACGGCCCCACACGCCGCGGAGGCCGGACCCTGATCCTCGCGCGCCTCCTCGTCTCCCCAGCGGATCTTGCCGAAAAGCGCCTGCAAGCCTACGGAGACAGCGGATCGGAGGCCTCCTAGCATCGCTGGCGGAGGCGGCCCCCCACACAGCGCCCCAGGCTCGCTCGATCCTGGCCAGGCTGTCGACGAGGGCGTCTCGCTGCAGCATGCTGAGGCAGGCGACGTCGGCCGCGCTGGAGCTGGCCGCAGGCCGGGCGGCTTGGCCCGAGAGCCGCGGCCTGCTCCAGCTGGTGGATGCACCTCGGAGGCGCCCGCCGCGGAGGCGAATGGAGTGCCTGCAGACAGCCCCTGCGACTCGAGCGGATCGCTGGCGATCAGGCCGGCACCGACGCGGAAGGGGGCGGACGACACCTGCTCCTCCGTGCTGCTGCTCCTCCTCTGCCTGTGCCGCCTCTCCCTCGCGGAGCCCTCCTGGAGCGCACGAGTCCCCACCGACGTGCCCGTGGCCAGGAAGGTCGAGCCCAGGGGGTGCGGCCGCCGTGGTCTGCATCTCGGTGCTGAAACTGACGATCGCATGGGGTAGCGCGACGTGCGAGATCGAAATGATCTCGTCGCTTTGGGTCTCCATCGTCGTCGGCTGCAGATACGTCCGTAACTCCCGCCACGAGGGCAGGGTTGAACACGCCAGCCAGCGGGGACCACGTTCTGGCCCTCGACGTCGCTGGCAATCTCCTGCCCGGGCTCATCTTGCACAATGTCGCGCGCTGCAAGTAAGCTCCATCGTGGCAAGGCTTGCGACATTGGCTCAAGGCGCGGGTGGTTTCCCCGATAGCGGGAAAGCACGCGCAAGTTCAAACCTGCACACCTACGGAATAGGAGGTGAAAGCATAGAGAAGACACACACACATATAGATATACACAGACGTATACTGATAGAAGTGTGTGTATCTAAAAATAAATCATGTACGTATAAGACATGCGTATGTTGGTGCTCTGTCCTTGCCCTGGGCCTCTATCAAGCGGCTCTTGCCCACCGACTGCTTGCCGAGGAGGATGAACTGGGGCATTGGGAAGTCCACTATGCCCAGCTTGTCCTCGGGGGGTCTGGGAGATCCTCTTCCTGCTTCTCCTCCTCGTGCATGCGCTCTGTAACCCTCTTCTGCTCCTTCTTCTCCTCCTCCTTCTCCTCCTCATCATCCTCCTCTCAACCCTCCCACCCCCCGCTCCTCAAATCGATCCTGCTGCTGACGATGCTGCAGAACATGGGGAAGGAACAACAGCAGGATAACGAGGATAACGAACTCGGGATCGATTACAGATATTATCAATACTGTTGCCATGGTAATTTCTCCTCTCACTCTCGTACTCATTCAATCACTCACTCACGTTCTCCCTCTCCCTTTCTCGCCCTCTGTGTCTCTCTCGTTGTTTTTCTTTCATTCCACCTGCATGCGAAACTGTGAAGGCCAAGCACATAGTGCGAAGCGCCTCTAAAGTCTTGCATTACCAGTGGCACGTGCGTGCCCAGGCTCACATAAAACACAACAAGGGGGGTCCCCGATGGGGTTGCCACAGCTTGCGACTACGAGAAATGCTGAGAACAAAAGCAACGGTTAGAGCAACGTTGGATAATCACCCTGGGAAACATCAAACTGCCACTGCTTTTCGAACAGTTACGCACGCAATCGCAGACAGCACCTGTATGTTCGTTGAGCGTGCTACTAAGGCATACATAAGACAGCATTGAGCAACGAATGGCTGTCAAACATTCGGAGCCGAAATCCTTGAACCCCTTTGTCTGTGAGAACTTCTGTTGAAATATTGAAGATCCATTGCGCGATTGGACTCTGAAGTCGCGACCTGCATGAGGGGTGCGTCCGGTTGTCAGAATGTTGACGACATCCCGAACGAAACGGCCAGAACAAAACGGATGCGGCAACAAGTCATTGCCTTTGAGTTCTACTCCCTCGGAGAGGTGCGCATGACAAAGCACACATGCACAAATGCATAAAACGCGTGTGGTCCAGCACAGGGCTGAACCTAAACGGTGTTTTCGTTTTCGTTTTGTTTTCGCTTTCCTTCGTTGTGTCCTCAATCCACCTCTACCGCAAAACGAAGTCGAAACGAAAACGGCCCACGAAATCGCCAAAACACCGTTCAGGTCCAGCCCTGGTCCAGCATTCGTGCACGCGGGGTAGGCTACGAGAACGAGCCCACCCGCAATGCCCAGCCCCCGCAGACATCTTACTTCCCTCGGCTTCCGCCGCGCTCCCACCGGCGGAGCCGCCCTCGCCTCGCTTCCGCGGGGGCCTCTCGCGGGCCTCGCGCTGGCCGCCGCCAGGGGCGAGAGGTGGACATCGCCATCCGTCGAGGACGAAGCCCTTTTGCCTACAATCGGACTTGATTGGAGAGGACACGCGAGAGGACACAAGACCCTCCCGGGGGCCACGTTGTCACAGAAATGCAGGAGGCATGAGTCGCAAGACAGAGGACACGAGTGTACCCTTGATCTGGCAGGGTCGACCTCCTAATCTGGGCCGCCTGTATCCTCCCGCCCTCCCTGGCTGATCCGCAGCCCTGGCATAATGTTTGGGACACGTGGCCACTGGGGCAAGGCGCGTTAGAACGAGCCCATCCTCCTCAGTATCTTCTTCCGAACTCTCCCTGTGGCGCCCTGGGCCCAAGCCCCCAACCTTCTGCTTCCCCTCCTTTTCCTGCTGCTCCTCTTCATCCTCTCTGCCTCCCCCTGTTGCGGCGCGCTCGACTTGGATGCCACCAAGGCGCCCCGCCCGGAAGGGTCCCGGCGAGGACACGGAAAAAATACTTCTCTCGACGGCGACGCCTCCCTCGTCGTCGTCCTTCTCCTCCTCCTCCTCCTCCTCCTCCTCCTCTTCCTCCTTCTCCTCCTTCCCCCACCCCCATTTCCCCCTTCTCCTCCTTCCCCACCCCCCTCTCCCCCTTCTCCTCCTTCCCCCTCTCAGAAGCCCCACGGCGCCTCCAGCGGTCCCCCATGGCATAGCCCGGCCAGCGAGGTCGGCAGGAGGGGAGGCCCAGCCAGAGGCAAGGCAAGGGGGGCCCAAATAGAGTTAAGTCGGGCCTGTCCCCCTACAGGGGGATTTTGGACGAGAAATAAGAATTATCCCCGCAAAGCAACCTAACAGCGATGTGTATAAGCAGCATATCTGGAAGCATTCCCCTTAAGATTCAGGTGAGAATCCAATTGTAGAATTCTGCAGCTCTCGCAGTCGCAGTCGCTTTCGCAATGACAGTCGCAGTGGCAACGGCCTTAGGATCCAATGGAATCCTAAGGATTCCTAGGGATTCCTGAGGCATCCTTAGGCATCCTTAGGAATCCATAGGAATCCTAAGGATTCCGAAGGATTCGCCTGCCTCGGCCTCAGCCTCAGCCTGCCTCAGCCTCAGCCCGCCCCAGCCTCAGCCTCAGCCTGTCTCAGCCTCAGCCTGCCTCAGCATCAGCCTCAGCCTCAGCCTCAGCCCGCCCCAGCTTGCCTCGGCCTCAGCCTCAGCCTGCCTCGGCCTCAGCCTCAGCCTCAGCCTGCCTCAGCCTCAGCCTGCATCAGCCTCAGCCTCAGCCTGCCTCAGCCGCAGCTTGCCTCAGCATCAGGCACAGCCTCAGCCTCAGCCTGCCTCAGCTTCAGCCTCAACCTCAGCCTGCCCCGGCTTGCCCCAGCCTCAGCCTCAGCCAGCCTCGGCCTCAGCCTCAGCCTCAGCCTCAGCCTGCCTCAGCCTCAGCGTCAGCCTCTCAGCCTCAGCCTGCATCAGCCTCAGCCTCAGCCTCAGCCTCAGCCTCAGCCTCAGCCATCAGCCTCAGCCTCAGCCTCAGCCTGCCTCAGCCTCAGCCTCAGCCTGCCTCAGCCTCAGCCTGCATCAGCCTCAGCCTCAGCCTGCCTCAGCCGCAGCTTGCCTCAGCCTCAGCCACTGCCTCAGCCTCAGCCTCAGCCTGCCTCAGCTCAGCCTCAGCCTCAGCCTGCCTCGGGCCTCAGCCTCAGCCTCAGCCTCGGCCTCAGCCTCAGCCTCAGCCTGCCTCAGCCTCAGCTCAGCCTCTCAGCCTCAGCCTGCTCAGCCTCAGCCTCAGCCTCAGCCTGCCTCAGCCTCAGCCTGCCTCAGCCTCAGCCTCAGCCTCTGCCTGCCTCAGCCTCAGCCTCAGCCTCAGCTCAGCCTCAGCCTCAGCCTCAGCCTCGGCCTCAGCCTCAGCCTGCCTCAGCCTGCATCAGCCTCCTGCCAGCCTCAGCCTGCCTCAGCCTCAGCCAGCCTCAGCCTCAGCCTCAGCAGCCTCAGCAGCCTCAGCCTCAGCCTCAGCTTCAGCCTCAGCCTCAGCCTGCCTCGGCTTGCCTCAGCCTCAGCCTCAGCCTGCCTCGGCCTCAGCCTCAGCCTCAGCCTGCCTCAGCCTCAGCGTCAGCCTCTCAGCCTCAGCCTGCCTCAGCCTCAGCCTCAGCCTCAGCCTCAGCCTCAGCCTCAGTCTCAGCCTGCCTCAGCCTCAGCCTGCCTCAGCCTCAACTTCAGCCTGCCTCGGCCTCAGCCTGCGTCAGCCTCAGCCTCAGCCTGCCTCAGCCTCAGCCTGCCTCAGCCTCAGCCTCAGCCTGCCTCGGCGTGCCTCAGCCTCAGCCTCAGCCTGCCTCGGCCTCAGCCTGCCTCGGCCTCAGCCTGCCTCAGCTCGGGCATTCAAAATATGACACAGGACTGGTGTTCTGGGAACACGAAGATCACGAAGTGGCCCACAGTTGGCTCTGGGCAATCAAAATATAATACAGGAATGGTGTTCCGGGAACACGAAGAACACGAAGTGGCCTACAGTTGGCTCCGGGCATTCACAATGTGGCCTGGGAATAATGTTCTGGGACCACGAAGAACACGAAGTGGCCTGCAGTTCGCTCCGGGCATTCAAAATGTGGCCTGGGAATAATGTTCTGGGACCACGAAGAACACGAAGTGGCCTACAGTTCGCTCCGGGCATTCAAAATGTGGCCTGGGAATGGTGTTCTGGGACCACGAAGAACACGAAGAGGCCTACAGTTAGCTCCGGGCATTCAAAATGTGGCCTGGGAATGGTGTTCTGGGAATGGATTCCTGAAGATTTCTTTGAATTCCGAAAAATTCCTGAAGATTCCTGGGGTTGACCGGATCTGTCCGGATCTGTCCGGATCCCGCCCAGACCCCCCTGGGGCGTCAAGATGCTCTCTTTTGACACCACCAGAAACCTATCAGCAAAAGCTGTCAGGTAAATACTCCCAAAAGGCCCCAAACATGTTCAAAAATATATATTAAAAATAACACCCAGACTGTTTCTAGACTGTTTTTTAAATATTCCTCCTGTAGGGGGACAGGAACGACTGAAAAGTAGAGGCAAGGGATCGAGGAAGGAGACTCGGAGAGCCCGCCCGCTCCGAGGCCAACCTCCCCCCCCCACCGTCCCGTCCTGAACCCTGGCCTTGACATCCCCGAGCACGTTCAGGAGCTCTGTGGGCCCCGTCGCCGCCATCGCCGACCTCGGTCGGTGAAGCGCGCTCGTCCTGACTCGTCGCAGCAGTCGCCGCCATCCGCGCGCCGCCGCCCACGCCGCCGCCGCAGCAGTCGCCGCCGGCCGCGCGCCGCCGCCCACGCCGCCGCAGCAGTCGCCGCCGGCTGCCGCCGCCGCCGCCAGCCGCCGCCGCCGGCCGCCGCCGGCCGCCGCCGCGGGCTGTCGCCGCCGCAGCCGTCGGCACCGGTCGTCGTCGCCGCCGCTGGCCGTCGCCGCAGCAGCGGCAGCCGTCGCCGCAACATCCGCCGCCGCCGCTGCCGCCGCGGACCTCGGAGCGCTGGCTGGCGCACCGCGCCAGCGCCCCTTCAGCGGCGCGGCGCTCGGGGGCGCCGTCGGCGGACGAGCTCGGGCCGACAGTGCCGCTGGCCGCCGCCGCCCTGCTCCTCCACCGGGGCCGGAGCTGGGGCCGAGGCCAAGGCCAGGGCTGAGGCTGGGGCCGCGAGGCCCAGGCCAGGGCCAGGGCACGGGACGGAGCTGGGCCTCAAGCTAGGGCCGAAGCCGAAGCCGCCCTGCCCCTACCTTGCCGCCTCTCCGCCGCGTCGGGTTTGTGTACGACGTGTGTGCGCGGCAGCCCTCTTTTGACAACGGCTTGTTTCCATCCGCCCAGGTGTTGGACGCGTTTTGAACGGGGCTCACGGCGCCAAAGCGGGAACAGCACCCCCGGGGCTCCTACGCAGGCCTGCGGAGGCGCGGCCGCTCGCCCCGTGAACGCACAGAAGTCTCGAGACCGTCGGCCCCCCCTCCAGATCCCCGCGCAGGAGGTGTGCAGCCGCGTGGAGTCCGACTCTGGATCGTCCACCCACCCAGTCCGCGCAGCGCAGCGCGCTCGCGAATCGCCGAGGCAGCCGCGTGCTCGCCCCGCCCTCTCCGCGCCGCCCCCGCGTAGGCCACTACACGCCAGGGCACCTGGCGATCTGTTTCTGTTCCACGCCCTGCCCTGGGGAAGTCCCGACCCCTCCCTATAGGGGGTGGCTTCTCGGCCTGGATGAACTTCCCAGAGGAGGAGGAGGGAGAGGGGGGGGAGGAGGAGGGGGAGGAGGAGGAGGAGGAGGAAGAGGAGGAGGAGAAGGAGGAGGAGGGGGAGGAGGAGGAGGAGGAGGAGTAGGAGGAGGAGGAGGAGGAGGGGGAGGAGGAGGAGGAGGAGGAGGAGGAGGAGGAGGAGGAGGAGGAGGACCTAAGGAACGGCCCGGAGGCCCGAGCCCAGCGTGGTCCTTCTGTCAGCGCCTTGACTTCGGAGATCTGGGCACCCGTGGCCGCGCCCTTCCCGCCTCGCCCTCCCCACGCCCCCCCCCCCTCTCGGGCGCAGGCGCTGCAGAGGTCTGCGCGGGCGCGGAGCCCTCCCCGCCGCCGCGGCCCTGGCTGGATCCTCCCGCCGAGCACCCGCCCCGCTGCCCGGCGGGTCGGTCGCGTAGGCGCGGCGCGTCCTGCTCCCCCCCAGCCCCCTCCTCGAGCCTCGAACGGCTCGCGCAGATGCCAAAAACCTGGAGGCCTCTAGAGACCCAGAGGATTCCTGGAGGCCTCTGGAGGCCCAGTCCTCTAGAGGCCTCTGCGGCACCAGGCTCCGGGGGGACCCACCTTCATTCTCGTCCTCGTCAGGGCCCTCCACATTTCCCTTCTCCTTCTTTCCCCTCCACCTCTTCCATCCACTTCTTCTCCACTTCCCCCGTCCTCCTTCTCCTCCACCTTTTCTCTTCACTTCTTATCTCTCCTCATCCCTCCTCCTCCTCCTTCTCCTCCTCCTCCTCCTCCTCCTCCTCCTCCTCCTCCTTATCATCATCATCATCATCATCATCATCATCATCATCATCATCATCATCATCATCATCATCATCATCATCATCAGCAGCATCATCACCATCATCATCAGCATCATTATCATCACCATCATCATCATCATCATCAGCATCATCACCATCATCATCAGCATCATCAGCATCATCACCATCATCATCAGTGTCATTATCATCATCATCACCATCATCACCATCACCATCACCATTACCATTACCATCACCATCACCATCACCATCACCATCACCATCACCATCACCATCACCATCACCATCACCATCATCATCATCATCATCATCATCATCATCAGCATCAGCATCAGCATCAGCATCAGCATCAACATCAGCATCAGCATCAGCATCAGCATCAGCATCAGCATCAGCATCAGCATCAGCATCATCATCATCATCATCATCATAATATTCCATTGTCTAGAGGCCTCCTAGATGGGGTCGGAGTAGATGGGGTCGGAAGATCGCGCCGCATCGCCGATACATCGACGATGGATCGGCGATGCATCGGCGATGCAACGGCGATGCATCGGCGATGTATCGGCGACGTCGGCGATGCATCGGCGACGTCGGCGTGAAGTAAATCGGGCTCCGCATCGAACAGCATCGTCGATGCATCGGCGCTGCGGCGCGATCCTCCGACTCCATCGACTCCGACCCCATCTGGGAGGCCTAGATTGTCTTCCTCCTCCATTGTCCTCGTCCTCCTCCGTCTCCTCCTCCTCCTCCTCCTCCTCCTCCTCCTCCTCTTCCTCCTCCTCTTCTCCTCCTCCGCCTCCTCGTCCCTTTCGCCGTCTTCCTCCTTGCCCTCAGTCCCCCGTCCCTCCCGCCCCCCTCGCCATAGCCGCCTTCCCGCTCCCGGCGCCCGCCCTCGCGCCGCCTGCCGCGCCCCGGGCGAGGCGGCGCGCGAGCTCGCCCCACTCCTCCGCGACGGATGCTGCCATGGCCGCCTTGCTCGAGGCCGCCGCCGAAACGGAGCCCGAGGGCGGCGTCGGCGGCACGGGCGGGACCGCCTGCGCCTTCGGCGGCGACCTCGGAGGCGTCTTGGGGGCGGGGCCCGGGCACTTCTTGAGGGTGGCGCCGGGCGGGCCGCTGCGCGGGCCGCGGCCGAGGCAGGGCACAGCGAAGAACCGTGGCGGGCGCTGCGCGGCTGCCCGCGGGGGATTCACAGGCGGCGGCTGCTTCGGCAGCGCTGTGCCTGTGGGCCGCCTCGCCCAATCCGGCCCGTCCTGCAGGGCCCCCTGACCTCCGGCGCCACGACCTTCTGCGCGGCACAAGCCCCGTGGACCTCCTGACCCCAGCTCAGCGGCTGGCGCGGACTGCTCCTCCTCGCCTCGGCCCTCTTCGGCAGCCAGCCGCTCCTCCCGCTCTGCCGCGCGGCGCCGCTCCTTCTCCTCCACCGCGCGGCGCTCCTCGCGAGGCTGCTCCGCCGCGCGCCGCTCCTCCACCGCCGCCGCTGCCAAGGCCTGGCCTGGCTGCAGCGTGCCCGGGGCCTGGCCGGGCTGCTGCGCGCGGGCGGCGGCGGGGGGCGGCATCGCCGGGGCGCCAGCCGCGGGCTTTTCGCGCGGGGCCACGACGGTGGGCCGCGCGCGCGCCGGCGAGGCCACCACGGGGCGCGGCGCGGGGCGCTGCGCCGCCGCGAGGAGGTCGCCGGGCGCCCGGTGCTGCTCGCCCAAGGCCTGGCAAGGCGGGCGCGCAGCGGAGGCCACGGAGGGCTGCACTCCGGAGGGCCGCGTCCTGTCTGCGGCAGCGCACCCGACCAGCCGCGTGCTCGGGGCAGGAAAATCCTCCGTCGAGGGCGCAGCGGCACCGCGGGGCGGCGTTACCGCAGGGGGCCGCGCTGCCGCAGCGAGGGTGGCGCCGGGTGGCTGCGCGGGGGCGGGTGGCTGTGTGCGGGGGCGGCCCCCCGCCGCCGGGGCGACGCTGGGCGGCTGTGTGGCGGCCGCGGTGCTGGGCTGCTGCGCGCTCTGGGCAGCGCCGGCTGCCTGCGCCACGCGGGCCAGTTTCGCCTGCGCCTGGCTCGCGAGAGGGGGAGAGAGGGGAAGGAAGGGGGCGGGATCAGTGGAAGGGAAAGGGGAGGGAGGGGGGAGGCGGGGAAAGGGGGGGAGGCGGGGAAAGGGGTGTGTGTGTGAGTGAAGTGTTTTACCTGCAGCGAGGGCTTAACAAAGCCGTTGTACCAAAGGCTGAAAGGTGCACCTGAACGCACAGACAATTTGGGAAGAAACGCCATCGGCATGCGAGCGCATACACACGTGCACGATACACGCATGTCAACTAAGCTCGTACATTCACACTGATCATAAATTCTTGTTCCCGAAATTGATTGGAACACGATCGCACGGATTATCTGGTTATTGGCGCCGTCTGGCGTAAGTAAATACCACAAGATACGAAAAGCATGCAAATGCGAACGGGTTTGCTCGGCGGTCAGGCGCAAAAAAAACAATTCATTGGCCCTCGTCCGGGCCGGGTAAGTTCCTCGGGATGCGCAGCGAACCCGAGACCAGGCGACAGAACTGGCCTGTCAGATCCATCGTCTTAGTGAGAACGTCGGCCAACATGTAAGCTGTGGGGACCCACCGCATCGGCACATGTGCCACGTTCATACTCTCGCGGGGGTCCACGGTAGCCTCCAGCTGCATTGCCTCACGCAGCCAGGCCAGATCCATAATCAGGCGCTTCTCCTGCGGGAGCTTACCGGCATCTCGCTGGAGGGTGTCATACAGCGACTTGCAATCCGTCACGCACGTGATCGGGAGCATACGAATGTTGGCTAGCATCTCACGGTTGGTCACGTCCAGGTCGGCATGCATCATCTCGAGAATCACAGCGCGCACGAATTCTGCTGAGTCAAACGCCTCGGTGCAACTCTGGGTCTCGGCAGCGAAAGTACTCCGAGCCACGCGCGGCAGCGTGTGGCTTCTCCAATCCACAAGGGCCGCCTTGCCCGGGCGTCCTTCAGCAACTGCACGCTCGCACAGGTAGACCAGGCACCCTGCCTGCGAGTGGACCTTCTCCCCTTGAGCGATCCGACGTAGGGCCTCGTCCTCGGTGAGCGCGTTTCCCCATGCAGCATCGTGGTAGACTATCAGGCACCACGGGGACTCCAAGTCCAGCTTGGGGATGTGGAACTTCTCGCTGGCCGAGCTCTGCAGCACTCCGATAGCCTTGTTGACGTCCAGCAGGTCTTGGATGCAGGGAGCATTCTGCTTGCGCTGTGCCATAGATACCGTGCATGACAGGTCGGGTCTCGTCTCTCGAGCTGGCCATCCCACACTGCCGACTGCACTGCGATTGTCCGCGACCTCGCGGGCATTACACTCCAGGCTCGGATCACGCTTCCGGGCCTTGTCGATCTCGATCGGCTCGAGCCTGCCCTCGATGAAGGTCGACTGGTCCAGCAGGAAACCTTCTTCCCCGGGTCCGCCTGCAGCAGCTTCCCGCAGAACACCACAGGCACGCGACGCCACTCGCCGAAGTTGAAGAGACCTCGAACTCCCTGACGTAGGGCCTGTGACTTCGTAGCTACGAGGAGATCGTCAGCATGTACGCAGACCAAGATACACAGCCTGCCATCCTCGTTAAAGCCGCGGAACACCGCCGGGTCGAGTCGGGACTGCATCATGAGGATGGGCTTGCCGTCCTCGTCCTTCAAGTCCGCCTCGAGCAGACCCCGACGCAGACGTCGCCACCATAGCCGCGGCGCGTCCGCGAGCCCGAAGATGCCCTTCTTGACCTTCAGGAGGCACCGAGGGTCCATGTTCGGCAGGCCCTCCTTGGGCTGAGACATGTAGAGCTCCTCGGCGCGCCCGTGCTCCTCGCCCTGCATGAAGGCGCGCTCGATGTCGCCGGCCACGATGTCGAAATCGTACGCCGCCGCCACTGCCAGGAAGGTGAGCACCGAATGCCTCGACACGGTCGGCGCGTCGGTCCTGAGCCCCATCGTGAGGTCCGGGTCATTGTGGCCACCACAGCACAGCCGAGCCTTCGGCTTGGGCGGCGCGTCTTTGACTCCAGCGTTCTGGTTCCGGTAGAGGAACCTCGACGTCAAGATGCGGCTCTGGTGGACTCGCTCACGAACCTTCTGGCTTTCCTCGACTGCGGCTCGACGGCGTCGTAGTTCTCCCACTGCTTCCACTGCAACTCGGCCGCCTCGCGATAGAGGGGGCGATCGCTGGCTGGGATCATGTTCCATGGCGTCTCCTTTTCCAGCGCTCGACGTTGCAGCCTCGTTGTGTTCCAGCTCCGCTTCGCGATCAGGCCGAAACTGAAATTGGCAAAGTGCACGGGTTGTTCTGGATGATCGCCTGGGTGCTGAAGCGGTCCGACAGGGAACGGCCGGAACACCTGGCTCTGCCGGGCTTGCAAAGCCGCCCGGCGCTTCTTGAACTCCTCCTTCGTGTAAGGAACTCCTTGCTCGGGTAGAGCTGGCTGAGGGGGCGTCGCTGTCGACGCTGGAGGCTCCGCGCGGGCCGATGACGCGGGGCGCGATGGCGCAGCTGCCTCCTGCCGCTTGCGGGGCGGCTCGTCCTCCAGGCGCTCGGCCGCGTCAGCCGGGCGCTTGTCCCTCTCGATCTCCTCGATCTCCTGCTCCAGCTCTTTCGCTCGCTCCTCGAGGGTGTCCCCGAGGTCCTGGCCTTCTCTCCGCTGCAGAGGTTGGGCCTTCTCTTCTGCTTCACGTGGTCCCCGCCCTCGGTCGTCTTCGTATTCTGGCTGGTCTTCCTTCTCAGCCTGGCGGATGAGCTCCTTCAGCTCCTCGATATTAGGATCGTCGCCCTGACCGGGCCACCAGATCTCCTCATCCTCAGCGGGTCGGAGCTGCTCGTGAGGAACTTGAACGGTTCCAGCGCCATGCGGGAGCCAGAAGTTGGACGCTCCCGCTGGGCCGATGACGACGGCTGGGCCTCGCCACTCGTGGAGCTTCGCCCCCTTGCGCAGCCGCCAGTAGAACACCAGGTCACCGTTCTGGTAGTTGATGCGGGTGACCCTCGGCTTCCGCAAGAGCGCTCGACGGAGCGCCTGACTATTCTGCAGCTCCACGAAGGCCGTCCGCGCAGCCGTGCGGATAGCCACCCTCCTGGCGAGCTCCGTGGACACGTGATGCATGCTGTGCTCTGCAATCTGGCCAGGCCGATCGATCAGGTCGGCAGACATGGTAGGCGAGCATCCGTACACCCACTGCGACGGTGAAAAGCCGCAGATCCGACGCATGTCGTTCTTGGCCTGGCAGGTCTGCCAGACGGCGGTCTCAAGGTCACCGCGGCTCGTGACTGACTTGTGCTCGACGACGCGGTTGACCATGAGCTTGAGCCAGCCGCCATGCCGCTCAGTGCGGCCGTTCTGCCACTGCGCCTGGCCCGCCACGGCCTCGACGCGGACCCCCATCATGACCATGGCCTCCTGGAACTCGGCGTAGAACATGCCGTCCGGGTCGAGCCTGACCACGCTATGCGGTCCAGCAGGCCACAGCTCTCGGAAGACCTTAGCCACGGTGGCTGGCTTCCGGCTCTTCAGGTAGCGCGCGACGTGGTACGTCGTGGAGGCCTCGACGAGCGACAGGAACAGGTAGGGCTTCCCGTGCGCGTTGCGAAGGTAGAGGCCGTCGACGCCCAGCTCGTCATTGAAGCCGCCGACCGGCGACAGGCGAGAAACTCGATGAGATCCCGCAGCAGGCTTGGTCCTGTTGCACGTAGCACAACGCAGGTGCTTGGCGCCGCGGACGAGAGCGTCGTCCGCGCCGTTGAGCCTCAGGTTCCTGGCCAGGTCGTCGTTCGAGGGATGCCCGAGGTTCTGGTGAAGGCGCCGAAGGTGAGATCGAACCTCCAGCGGCAGGATGCCAGCCTTTTCTCCAAACGAGATCGCTCGGGAGCCCATGGGCTCCTCCTCGGGTGCCTCGTCGTCCTCGTCGTCGACGTCCGCCGCTATGGCCTGGTAGCTCTGGTTGAGCACCTCCTCGAACGCGTCGACGATACGCCGACTGAAGTCCTTGGTGTAGACCTGGCTCCAGGAGATGCCCTTGCTGCCATAGCCCTTCAGCTCCGCGTGGTCGTTGTCCTCTGCGCACCGCAGGCCGCAATGCTTCTCGAAACGCGCGTGAGTCGCCAAGATCCTCGTAGGCTTCTTGACTGCCTTCCCGGTCTGAGGGCAGGTGAGGCCGTGCGCGCACATGTCAGTCTGGAACTCGACCTCGCCCGGCAGTTGTCTGAGCCTCTTCCACGGGCCCTCGTTCCAGGACTGCCCCAGCCACGGGTGCTCCAGCACAGCAATGCGTCCGCCCGCGCACTGCATCCCGAAGAGCTTCTCGACTAGCTTCAGCGTCGGCAGCTCCTTCAGCCGCGCCCGCCGCAGGCGCTGCTTGTCTCCCTTGAACACGAGGTTCTGCATGTGGCTCCAGCTCCTGCAGGTCGGCTCGAGCACCAGGCCGTCCTGCTTCTCGCGATCCACGAAGTCGATCAGCTGCTGCTGGACATTCGGCTTCTTGAAATCGTCGCCGCACTCGATGTCCCAGGGCTGGCCGACACGAAAACCTGGACAAGCGGCCTCGCGCGATGCCGCGGCCTTGCCACCCCAGATCTCAACGAAGTTGATCTTGGCGCCGTCCTCGTCGACCGCGACGCGTACCTCTTTGGTGGCGTGCTCCCCCGCGGCCTTGGCGTAGCTGGCAAGGTTGAGGCCAGCCGACTCGCCGATGGTCGCCGCGAGGCACATAGCTGGCAGCGCCCACGAAGCCAGAGCGCCGCGAAGCCCGCGGAGCACGCGCTTCTTCATCCCGCGGCGCAGGGGCCGCTTCACCTGACCAGCTGGAAGCCGAGATCGAGGTGGTTCATCAGCTCCTTGTCCTGGTCGGTCTCGGCCACGCTCGACTCGGTCTCCGCCTTGCTCAGCTCGGACTCGTCACTCTCCTCGTCGACTCTCGTGAGGTCCTGGTCCGGGTCCCAGTCCACCTCCGGCGCCGGGACCGCCGTCGTCGCTACTGTCCGAGTCGGTGCCGTCCGAATCCTTGCCAGGCGGTCTTCTTTGGTGTCCAGGCTCATGTGAGATGACGTACTCGGGGGACCTCGCTTCTTGACCTTGGCCTGGATCTCCCTCGCCATGGGAGGCGTGCTTGGAGTTGCCTTCGGGGGCGGTCCTGCGCTGCTCGACTGCGCGGACCTTCTCGAAGGAGTAGCCGAACCCAGCAAGGACTTCGCGGAGACGGCGCTGGAAGGTATCGGACCTTCTGCTGCTGCCCACGCCTTGATCCTGAGCTTCAGGGCGCCCGCCGCCCCGTCGATCGCGACGCCTGCAGCCTGGCAGAAAGCGATGGCCTCGGGCTTCTTGAGCTTGCTGAATCCCGACGCCAGTTTGGCCCTGGGGGTCCCCTTCTGGTGTCTTGCCTCCCCGGGCGGTCGTGTGGCTCGCAGGCTTCCCCGTAGGGCCGCGCACGTCTCGCTCCCCGAGGTATCCACTCCGATGGTCAGCAGCTCCGCGCGCAACTCCGCCTTCGTCATCTGAGTGATCCCCTTCCGAGTCGGTCTCATATGAGTCAACCTCGAGATGATGCACTTCCGGTAGCCCATGCTGATCATCACGCCGCGCATGGGTGTCATGAGAGCCCGGGCCGCGTTCATCAAGATCTGGGCGAAGCGCCACCATGCCCGCCGAAGATCTGGTCGCTTCTGAATCTGGCCCGGCATGAGCCGTGAAGGGCTCAGCTGATATGGAACGTGAAACTGGACTCATCCTGATAAGTTGATTTGAGCCTTGGGCTACGGAAGTCGACGTACACGTTTGACCATCTCGAACGTTTGCTTGCTGCTTGTTTTGATAATGCCCTGCATGTTGACTGGCTCGACCTCCGTTTTGATAAGCTCGCGCTGCATTTTGATAAGCTCGATCTGCATTTTGATAAGCTCGAACTCCGTTTTGGCGATGCTGATCTGCTTTATCATGCTGTTGCTGCTCCAGGGCTTCGTATTGCTGCCGTGCTGCTGCTGCTGCTGCTCGTTTTTGTAGACCATGAGCGTTTGCTTGATGTCCTGGATCTGGCCCGGCACTTCTGGACGCTGAACCTGGCGATGAGACGGCTGACGATCATGATGATGACCTTGAAAATGATATTGCATATCTGGCGCCGTCTCGTCCAGGACTGCTCCTGGCGGTGCCACCCAGCCTTCTGCTGGAAACTGAAACAGATTGAGCAGCGGATGCTGGGAGTCAGCTTCTGTGACCGGCACGGGTGGCACGCCCAGCTCCTCTGGGAAACTGAAGGTGCTGGCCCTCGGGTCGTCGCGGATCCCGAGCTGCTTCGCCGCTGGCCTCGAAAAGAGCAGCGGCAGGTCGCCTGGCACGATGCTGACTCGCAGAATACCTGAACTAGGATGTGAAATACATATCGGGATCAGCGCTGCAAAGGCGCTCCAGACCGGGTCGCCAGCTCCAAACCGAAACCGCTCCTTCTCGTCGACCCGCTGGCACCTCAGGCCACGCGTGCAACGCCTCAAGAGCGCCGCCCACAGCTTCAGCATGCTGTAGCCCATAACGCACCTGGTGCAGCCGCTGTCGTACATCGCGAACCCGACGCGCCTCCGCATCTCCTCGAAAGACGCGAAGATGAACACCGGGAACGAGAGGGCCAGGAAAGAGTAGAAGCCCTCGGTGGTGTTCGGCTTCCTCTCGGCAGCAGGCCTGGGCGCGCTCCTGGCCGCCGTCGTCGCCCTCGAACTCGTCGCTGTCATAACCCTGCGCGGCTCCGCCTCCGCACAGCCGCTGTCATGGATAGCCAACATCGGCCTGCGGGCTCCCGACGAGGGCTGTCCTCCTCCACGAGTCTCGGGGCACTCCGGGTCGCCCTTCCAGTGCCCTCGCTGGTCGCAGGCCTTGCAGACGGAATTCTTCTTCAAGTCGTCGATATCCTTCTGCCTCTTGGGGTCTCGCTGAGCCTGATGCGGTGCCGGTGGCGGAGGGTCGCCCCGCTGGTTCTTGAAATCCTTCATTTTGAGCTTCGCACTCGTGAACTTCATTCGAAACTTATCCTCCTGCTGGAAACGCTTATTGCTCTCACGAAAACCTGCCACGTACGCCTCCGCAAGTGACGCCGTGGTCTCCTCCTGGTCGTCACCGGGCTCCTGGTCGTCAGCGTCGTCCTCGAACTCATCCAGGCCCGGGAGGTCGATAGGGTCTCCACCGTTCGCCAGGAACGACTCCACGGCGTGGTACTCGTCCTCATCAAGGTCGTGCAGGTAGTTCTGGACGTGGTCCTGCACCTCCTCGTCCTCGGGCTCGGCGTGCATGGCGCGATGTTGTCCACCTCGTGGGGCGAACCTCTGAAACTTCTTGGGCTTGAATGGCTGATCGTGCCCGCGGCCGCCTGGTCTGTCGAACTCAGCAACGTTGGCGCAATTTCTCTCGGCCGCCGCGGACATCACCTTGAAATCGTAGTCGTTGTTCGCACTGGCCAGCACCATCGCACGTCGATCGCTTGGCAGCCGCAGCTTCTCCAGAAAGAACCATCCGAGCACGATCGCGGGCAACGTCACGGCAAACTTGGCCAGGCGATGCACGAGAGTGTTGAACCTCCTCTTGAATGTACGTATCTGCTCCTGGGGCCGCCTCTTGAGCAGGACAAAGAACTCGCGTAACACATCTCCTTGTCGCAAGGTCTCCTGCTCCTCGAAGCGGTCCCTGAGCTCGAGCATCAAGAACTCGAGCCCTTCTGGCTCGGCGAGCCTCTGCATGTCGATGTCCTCGACGGCGGCCCAAGCGTCGTCCTGCAGCCTCGCGTAGAGCGCTGGGCCGCGACGCTCGGACCTCAGGGACGCCGCCAGCTGCCAGGCCTCGACGCGCCGCGAGAAATCCTGCCAGCCGCTCCCGTCGAAGATCGGGATCGGCAGGTTGTCCCGCGTGCCGCCGCAGTCCCTGTCGGCGCCTCCTCCGGGCGTCTCGGGCGCCGCTTCGTAGTCCTCCGCCTCCTCCTCGTCGAGCTGCTCGAAGTCGTCGTCGTCGTGTTGCCTCTGAGGAGGCAGAGCCCGATCCGCACGGCCACGGTCGGAGGCCCTCCAGGTGCGAGCCGCCATGGCACGCGCCGAAGGTCAGCGCAGAGTGTGAGCGTAACGCAGACCGAAACACACAGGCTCCGGCTACCAATGTCAGTGAAGTGTTTTACCTGCAGCGAGGGCTTAACAAAACCGTTGTGCCAAAGGCTGAAAGGTGCACCTGAACGCACAGACAATTTGGGAAGAAACGCCATCGGCATGCGACCGCATACACACGTGCACGATACACGCATGTCAACTAAGCTCGCACATTCACAAGGGGGAGAGGGGGAGGACGAGGAATCGATTTCCCCAATCGGTTCGGCCTCTTAAGACATGCGCTCGTCCCTGACACGCCGACCATCTCTAGATCAATATAGGCGCACAAGCCCATGCGGCGCGAGCTCTGCACTTGGCTCGTGCGGCATTGGCTGGAGACTGTGCGCAAGCAGCGAAAACCACCCCGCAATCTACAAATTTCAAACACGTCGCCGTGCAACTACGCTTGAGCATGCGCTGGCTGGCAGGCAGGAAAGGGAATAGGAGGGGGAGGAGGAGCAGGAGGAGGAGGATGAGGAGGATCAGGAGGAGAAGAAGAAATAGATGTGGAGGAAAAGGAGAAGGAGGAGCATGATAATGATGATGATGATGATGATGATGATGATGAGGAGGAGGAGGAGGAGGAGGAGGAGGAGCCATTGCTTCGGACCCAAAACGTCTGGGAGCAGAACGGCTCAGACGTCAGATGTCAAGATTTGTCCAACTCGCGGGCCTCAGACGCAACCCCTTGCTGGGAGCATTTTTTCCGTCTGGTTGATGGCCCTGGAGACCGAAAGCGGCCCGCGAAAACCTACGTCTTGATGTTTCCAAGAGGATGAAGGGCTAAGGAAGGGCAGTCAGAGAAGCAAGCATCGCATAAGCATCTCTTTCGGAGGGCCGCGCAGATTCTTGGGTAAGCGCTGGTCCCCCATGGAAGATGCTCCAGAGCAGATCCAAGCAATCCGCGCGCACTTCTGACAGTTTTTCTGTATGCAGGTTTCTTGTGCCAGTCGAGGAATAGTCGACGATGAGGGGGCGCGAGCATCGTGCACTGGTCGGGGCTGGTCGTCCCCCCCCCCCCCCAGCACCTGTCTCGGAGGAGCGAGCTCCAGGCTCGCACGAAAGCTGCTTCGACTGCAGCCTGGGTCTATGCGACGACGGTCGCCGTCGCCATCGCCATCGCCATCGCCGCCGCCGCTGCGTCGACGTCGTCGTCGTGGTCATCGTCGTCGTTTTCGTCGTCGCCTTCGTCGTCGTAACAGTCGTCGTCGCGGCAGCGAGGGAAGAGGGAGGAGGATACAAGGTAAGGGAGGGATTGATCCTGGATCCACTTGCACAGCAGAGGAACAGGATGAGGAGCAGGTTGTCGTGGAGGAGGGGGGCTACGGAGAAGGAGGAGAAGGATGATGATAAAGAGGAGGAGGAGGACGACGATGATTATGTTTATGATGCGGGTACTAATGATGATTATGATTATGGTGTTGATGGTGATGATGGTGATGATGATACAGGTGAAGGTGAATATGAAGATGGATACGAAGAGAAATACTCAAAGACGATGATGATGATGATGATGATGATGATGATGGTGATGATGATGGTGATGATGATGATGATGCCGAGAACGCAAAACAACGACGACGGCAGCGGCGACAGCAGCCCCGGAGGCCATTGACATGCCCAGCGGGCAAGGCCCTCTTCTTGGGCACGGCCGCCACCTGTGGCGCCAGCGTGGGAGCGGGGGGCCTCCTCCTCATCTTTTTCCTGCTCCTGCTCCTGCTCCTGGTCCTGCTCCTGCTGCTCCTCCTCCTCCTCCTCCTCCTCCTCCTCCTCCTCCTCCTCCTCCAACAGAAACCCGATCTAGGCCAGGGTGGTTTAGGTAGTTTGTTGTTATATTCGAGCAAAACGCCACCCAAACAGCACGCGAGCGGCCGCAGCCCGCGCCTTCTGCAATTCCAATCTCCGAGCCCGAGGACCTCAACCCCACGACCTGACCCCAAAGACATAGACCCTGACCCTGAAGTTCGAAACCTTAGGCCTTCGCTCCAAGACCTCAACCCTAGACCTACGACCCTAACCGTAACCCTAGAACCCTAACGCAAAGACCCGATCCCGAACACTCAGACCCCAACCATAACCTTAAGACCCTCGGCCACGGAATCTCCCTTTAAGACCCTAACCCTATGACCGAACCCTACGGCACTAACCCTAACCCGAAGACCCCAACACAAAGACCCGAATACTACGAACCTAACCCTGAGACCCTATAGCTAGGACCCTAATCCTAACCCTAACCCTGAGGCCCTGGCCCGGACAATCGCCCTAAGGCCCTAAGACCCTGACCCTGAGACCCTAACCCAAACCCTGATACCCTGACCCTAAGATCCAAACCCTAGACTTAGGACGCTGACACTAAGACCCGGACTTGACCCCTTAGACCCAAACCTTAACCGACGACCCGAACCCCAATGCTCTGACCCTCGGACCGTCCTCAGAACGTGAAGGCCCCAACATTCAAACTAAAACCTGAAACTTGATCCTAAGACCCTAACCCACGAAACCCTGACCTTCGACCATAACCCAAAGACTCTAACCCTAAAACCCAAGACCTAGGGACCTGACTCTAAGTCACTAGCCCCGACCCACATACCCGAACCCTCAGCATAACCCCACACCATAAGACCCTAATCTGAACCCTAAGCAGCCTCCCACTCCGAACAGGATGTCGGCGCCGTCCAGGTGGCCGGGGGCGCGGCGGCCGCTACCCGCGAGGGCAGAGCAGCTGCCGAGGCGCGGTGGGCACCCACCGCCAGCGCCGCCCACCCCCAACGTGGCCGGCGGCCCCTTGCCCGACATGGGCGGGCCGCCGGCGGGCCGCGCCTGCGAGGTCATCATTGTGCACATGTGATGTGAATTGAATTATGGAAAAGACTCCCCGGAGGGGCGGCACGTAATTCTGGAAGGGGGGCCGACGCGAACTGGTGATGGAAGATAGCCCGCCGGGCGTGGATACGCGAAGACATGCAAGACATCTCCCGCCCAACGCGCCGAGCGTCAAACCGAATCTGACGCAACTATGGCCCATGGCTCATGAGGCGCCGATTCACCCCCTGACAATTTATTGTGCTCATGCATATGATACCAACCGTCTGTTTCCCGGAAAAACGATATGGTTTGCGAATTCGACCTCGCAGACGCCGGGGGCACCCCGGGACCATAGTCTCCGAAATGACGGGACGTGGACCGGTAGTCTCAACCCGTGCTGGAGGGGCGGCCGGGCAATTTTCTCGCGCCTGGATAAAAGCGCCCTTATAGCGCCCCCGAGCCAAGACACGACGCAGGCGAAGTGGCCGCGCGATCCGGGAACCGGCCTTCGCGCACACAAGAAGCATAAGCTAGAAGAGATAAAGACGAGATGATGAACGAAGGAGGGCGGGGGAAACCGCGACGCGCTATCCCCAGGGGCCCTGCAACGTCCACCCCTCCTTGCCCGCCCCCGCGCCCTCGCCCCTGACCTCCCCAGAATAGAAAACCAGTGGGGGGATTTGCCGCTGAAAGTCCGCCATGCCGCCGCGGCGCTTTCCGCGTTCCTCGCGGCGCCCTCGACGAGGCCCTCCCCGTGCCAGCGCCTGGAAACTAATGCCCTCGCCCTAATGCCCGAGTCCTCGGATCCCAACTCAAAGACCCGAGCCCGAAGACCTCAATCCGAAGACCCTAGCACTAAGATGCGAAACCTACCCCTGGCCCGAACTCTCTGACCCCAACCCTAAGACCCGAATCCTACGCCCCTAGCCGTAAGACCCGAACCTTAATGCGAACACTAAAACCAAGCACTTTACAACACGCGCCCCTTCCAGGCGGGCCCCCTTGAAACTCGGAGTCGCGTCGGCCTGTTGCGAAAAGGACAGCAGAAGCGTCGAAGACTTGCAATTCTTTCTCGCGCGCCGTGCTCGGGCCCGCAACCCGAGGTCACTTGCGGTGGCGGTCGACAGAACAATCGCCTCGCGGAGCCTGCTGGCCCACTCGACCGGCGAGCTCGTGAAAACAGGGCGTCTGGCCAGACCTGAATTCAAGAGCCGATTTGCAAGAGTCCGAGCTGCACTGCAATCTCCTCAACTCCAGCGTTTTTGCCAGGGCGGGGGGGGGGGGGGGGGGGGGGGCGGCAGAAAGGCTGGGGGGGGGGGGGTAAATTGCAGCGGAAGGGGCGAGAGGCACGCGCGCCAGCGTTGCGAGCAAACGCAATGCACTTCGCAACGGGCACCCCTTCCAGGGGGGCCCCCTTGAAACTCGGAGCGGCGTCGGCCTATCGGGAAAAAGACAGCAGAAGCGTCGAATACTTACAGTTATTTTTGACGCGCCGAGCTTGGGCCCAAGACCCGCGGTCGCTCGCGATGGCGGTCGACGGGGCATTCTCGCGGAGCCTGCCTGCCCTCTCGGCCGGCGAGCTCGCGAAAACAAGACGTCGGGCCAGACCTGAATTCAAGGGCCCGCAGCGCTGGAGTCAGAATTCCCATATCAACTCCATTGGTAGCCGAGAGATGCTAGCAGGCGCGAGGCACTGGCGAGCAGGCAACGCGACTGGACTCAGAGGAGGAACGACAGCTGCTTGGCCTCCGCCCGCTTGGCCTCTGCCGTCACCGCAGCGGGGGGCCGCCTGAAGGGGGCGAGGGCGCGGCCGCTTTTCTGGCACCTCTGGACTGACCGAGCGCTGGCCCATCTTCCGGGGACCTAGATGTCAGGAAAAGTGCGAGCACCACGTAGATCATCCTCAGAAGGCCCACCATGCCGAGGAAAATGAGCGGTGACCTTACTGGGTGCCCCAACAACGGCCGCCGCTTATTTCAGGGCCACGTTGTAGCTGGCGTAGGTGTGCAGGAACATGACCCGGCCCTGGCGGGCCCTCTGGGCGCCGTGGACGAGGGCGACGAAGGTGCCCGCCACGCCAGCGCGAGACTGGCCTTCGATGAGGGCGGAGCCGTCCTGGAGGCCAGTCTTGGTGACGCGCGCGTGCGCGACGTCGCCCATGACCGCCGCGGAGGCCCGCCCCGACGACCGGGCACATCTTGCTGTAGCCTGAACCGGCACTCGGAGGTAGCGCGGCGCCGGGGGGTCCAGCAGCTCGTCAGGGCGCAGGTAGGCGTCGAACTTCGCGACGAGGCCGCGGGCCGCCTGCAAGCCCGCCTCGGCCCCGAGCCAGGCCAAGCGCTGGGCCATCAGCGCGGCGGCCGCCCAGGAGAGCGGCTCGGAGGCGACGCCTGGCTCGAGCTCCCCCCAGCCAGAGAATGCGCACTTGCCCCTCGGGAAGACGCTGAAACGGCGGGCCAAGGCGGCCAGCGCGTAGCGGGCAGCCACCTTGTTGCCGGCGTTCAGGAAGAGCATCTCGAAGTACTCCACGAGCAGCGAGTCAATCAGCGGCAGGCCCCTGCGCGCCCCGCAGTCGGCGACGGCGCCCGCGGCCGCGGCGAACGCGAGCACGCTGGCGGCGCAGCAGGCGAGGGTAGCCGGCCTGGGGGCGGCGAAGAAGGAAGCCGCGCGAGGTGTCAGCAGGCGCTGCGCGGGCCGACTGCGCTGCCGAACGTCCTCTGCCTCCGCCTCGTTCTTGGCCGCGCCCGCGGCGGCCCGAGCCGGCGGCCCCAGCCCTCGGCGTCGGCGGGCCAGAGCGGGGCACATTTTCGCGGGCAGCTGGGGCAATTAAGGGCCGGCTGGAGGTCGTTCATCCTGGCTGCGCGCCTGAGCTCGCCCTCCCAGCTAGTGACCGGGCATCAGTGGATCGCCATCGAGCCGCCGGCCAGCTGAGGGCGCGGCGCGCGCCAGGGTCCGCGCCGCGCTGTGGCAAGCCCCTGGCGGGCATGTTGCCGTAAGGGTTGTGCGCCAGAAGGCCTTGGGCCGACCCTGATGGTCACGGACCTTGACCTTGCCCTGCGGGCGCTCGCGCGCGCAACTCCCAAGGCATGGTCTCCCCAGGGCCCCAACTCGAGGACATCGAACTCGATCCTGGTGGGCTTCTGGCACGGGGCCCCGAAGAGACAGCAGTCGAACGCCGTGGGCACCCGGCCATGCTGCCCCAAGAACTCCTTGAGCGGGCCCCGCGAGAAGAGCCGGGAGCTGCGTGGAATCTCAAGAGACCAGCGGACACCATGCTATGACGAACGCGCAAGCGGAGCAGACGAAGAGTGACGCGAGCACATCGCCGTCCAGCGCGCATAGCCGACGCGTCGTCGGGGCCCCGCCAAGCAACTGACCAGGGCGCACAAAGGGGTCCCAAAGCGCACGAACCAGACAACCGCGACGTGATCCACTTGCGAACGACAGACTCGACGCCAGGCCTGAGCAAATCCCCCCCAGTCACCGAAGTCGACGTCAATCAGGCAGGCGACCGCCAAACCGAGCGCGGCAAGAGCACCCGTCGGCCGCCCGCCGAGCACAGCCCGAGAAGGCGTCGAGAGCCGCGCGACGAGCACGAACCCGAAGTTCGGGGGCGCCCGAGTCCTGCGCGGCGACCGGCAGGGGCGGAGGCGGCGGCAGCCCAGCATCCTTTCTCGCCCCTTTTGGGCCAGATCGAGCATGCAGGTGCAATGTCCCTGGGGCAGGCAGCATGCGGGGTGGGGCCCCGACGCGCGTCCGCGGCCCGGCGCCACCGGACCTCGGCAGCGGGTGCCCAGGCGAGCGCAGCGGGCCAGCCTCCGGCCGTGCGGGCCGCCGAGCCCCGAACTTTCCA